GAAGGCTGAGGCGGAAGGATCGCCGGAGCCCAGCAGGTCGAGGCTGCGGTGGCCGTGAGCCTGCCACTGCATTTCAGCCTGGGCGACGGAGTGAGACTCCGACTCAAAAAAATATAAAACAAAATATCTCCAGGGCCGGGCATGGTGGCTCAAGCCTGTAATCCCAGCACTTTGGGAGGCCGAGGCGAGAGGATTGCCAGAGTCCAGGGGTTCAAGACCAGCCTGGGCAACTCGGTGAGACTTTGTCTTCACAATTAAAAAAAAAAAAATTAGCCAGGCGTGGTGGTGTGCGCCTGTGTTTCCAGGTACTTGGAAGGCTGAGGCGGAAGGATCACCAGAGCCTGCAGGGTGAGGCTGCGGGACTGTGAGTGTGCCACTGCACTCCAGCCTGGGTGACAGAGTGAGACTCCTACTCACAAAAGCAAACAAACAAACAAATAAAATAACTGCTCTTCCAAAGCACTCTCCTTCACCTTGGTATGCTTAACTTTGCTCCACAGCCCTTATCGGCATCTAACGTACTATATATATATTTTTTACTTTAGCTCATTCATTGTCTGCCTGCCCAGTAGAATGTAAACTGTATGAGGGCAAGGGTCCGTGTGTTTCATCACTGTGGAAAGCCCAACAGTCTAAATGTCTGCAGAATGAATGAAAGAGCATTCATGGATTCCCTAGTTTCACTTCCTCTTGGCTGCTCCCACACTATAGGGAAGGGATGTAGGTGCCAGGACACAGGCAATGGGGGGATGATCTGTCATGCCACCCTAGTCTCCTAGGACAAACAAGCAGGTCTCAAAACCCAGGCAGCCAGCTTTGAAAAACCACTATTATCTTTAATATTTCAACTGCTCATCACAACAGTAGAGATAAGGGTACCAACGGCAGCCAATCATAGTTGGGGTGATTCCCCTTTTCCAAGTTCAGTCCCAGGCTGAGTACCTTCTCACAAGCTTTGTCCCCATGTGGGCACAGGAGCAGGAAGGATCCCCCGAGAGGGTGAGTCTGTGAGTCCAAATCACACAGCACACAGGAACAACTACAGAGTCGCAGAGGGGACCAGTCACTCGGCAGCATCCCTTCTCCCCTCAGATCTGATTCTGTCCCTCCTCCCTCTCCTGGACCCAAGCTAAGAAATGATGGATGCGTAACAGCCTTAATAAATTAGACTAGAGTGGCTGTTTGGAAGATCTCTTCTCCCAGATTCTCTCCCCAGCCTTTTATTATTTATTTATTGTCGAGATGAGGTTTTGCTACGTTGCCCCGGCTGGTCCTGGACTCTTGACCTCAAGTGATCCTCCTGCCTCCGCCTCTCAAAGTGCTGGGATTATAGGTATGTGCCATGCAGCTGCGCCTATCTCCCCCCATGTTAACCAGGGGGTGATCTTGTCTGGGGTGGCTCAGAGCTTGAGTTTTATCTGGGGCATTAACAGAGCCTTGCCCCTGGGGTTAGTGGGAGGAGTCAACCAGAAGATGCTTAACAGGCGACTTAGAACAATTTGCTGGCTACCCTGAGTCCGGCTTCTGCAGAGTCGCTCTGGAAGCCCAGGCTGGCCGTGTGAAGGTGTCCTGCTCTGGAAGCCCAGCCTGGCCGTGTGAAGGTGTCCTGCTCTGGAAGCCCAGCCTGGCCGTGTGAAGGTGTCCTGCTCTGGAAGCCCAGCCTGGCGGGGTGAAGGTGTCCTGCTCTGGAAGCCCAGCCTGGCCGTGTGAAGGTGTCCTGCTCTGGAAGCCCAGCCTGGCCGTGTGAAGGTGTCCTGCTCTGGAAGCCCAGCCTGGCCGTGTGAAGGTGTCCTGCTCTGGAAGCCCAGCCTGGCCGTGTGAAGGTGTCCTGCTCTGGGGAGCCGGCCCTAGACTTCCCTCCCATTGAATGGAAATAGGATTAAAATGCGTGTTCTAGACCCCTCTGGGCTCCCAAGATAATCTCCCATCCCAGAACTAGTCAGCCTTCCCCCCACCTGTAGAGTTGGGGTGGGAGGAGCTGGAGGGCCCAGGGAGGGCCGAACCTGCCTCACTCAGAATCCCAGATTTCAGAGGCCACCCGGCTCTTGTCAGGCAGCCCCAACAAACCCTACCCCAGGCTGGAATTCCAGCCTCACTCCGAGAAGGGGATGAAGCTGCCTCCTCTCCCCTAGGGCACAGCAGGGAAATACAGGCCCAGAGCTGGCTGGGATATCCCCGAGGTCACCCAGCCTTAGAAGATCAGAGCCGGGCTAGCGCTGGCCCGGGCCTGCGGACCACAGGCCCCAGGCTCTGACTCAGGAGGGAAGGAGCTGGAAGAATAAGCCGAGGCTAATATGAGGGTCAAAGTCCCTCTTCGCCGAGAGGCGCTCGGTGTCCGAGAGGTGGTGGGCGCGGCCAGTCCCCACGCCACGACCCCGCTCCCAGACGAGGGAGCCCGGGCCTTCCCAGGGCCTCCTCCGCTGCCCCCACCTCCAGCAGCCTCGCGAAAAGAGAAGGGATCCTGACTGCGTGCGGTCACGAGGAAACCCTGGCCATGGGAGGCGGCGACGCGCCCCAGCGCAGGTCCCTGCCCAAGGGTAGGGCCCGACGAGTTCGGCAGCCTTCCCTCCCAAGCGCTCACCTGTTGGGGGCCGGCCAGCAGGCCGAGCAGCAGGGTGGGCGCGAGCCCGGGGACCCAAGCGTGGGCCATCCTGGCACGGGGGCCACTGGGTTTCCGTGTGCAGGGAGAGGCCGGGCCGCGACCTCTCCCCCGGCTCTCCACCTTTGGGGCCCCGCCTCGAGACGGGGGCGGAGCCGACGCCCCGGGAGGGGCCGGACTCGGGGCGGGAGGCGAAGGGAGGAGGGGAGGCCCCGGTCTGGGTTTGGGGAGGTGGGAGGTAGAAGAGATGAGCTGGTTGAAAACATTAAGCTGCAGAAGTGGCTAAAAGGTGGGGCCCGCTCGACGCCGCCGAGGGAGGCCTTCCTCACCCCTGCGTCCCGGGAGGCAGGGCTGCCGGGCGGGACAGGGAATGGGAGGGCGAGGCAGGCAGCGGGGCCAGCCCGCTGGGAGCCCCTTCTCTTCGGGACTTCGGGGGAAGGAAGGGGAGAGGGGGCAGAGGCCGAGGGAGGGGTCTGGGGTGATTTTGAGGGGAGCGGGTGGGGTGGGAGTGTCCCCCATTGTGCTTTGGCCACGGAGGGAGGCGAGGGGGCGGCCTGGCTGATTCCCAAGTGACCTGAGCTTTCCGGGTCGGAGAAGGGGCAGGAGGACAGCCTTGACACAGCCGTGTCCCCTGCGCGCCTGAAACCCCGAGGGGAGGTGTGGGGACATTTCACGGACAACAGGGGAAATTGAGGCCCCAGGGGTCAGAGGCCAGCAGGGGCGGCGGATGGAGCGGAGCGTCAGCCAGGCCCGCTGGGCGCGGGCGAGCAGGCTGGTCCGGATTCCTGGAAAGACCCCGCGGAGGCCGGCCGGCCGGGAGGAGCCGGATTCCGAGCCCCCTGCCCCGCCCGCCGGCGGCCGCCGCGCCCGGCCCTCGAGGCGCTGTGCTT